TGCCCTGAGCCATGCCAGCCGGATTACATTTATATACTTTCAAAATAATCTTAATGATGTCAACGTAACAGAATATCTCTGTACATAAGTTACCAATAAATCTCAATTTCGAACAAAACGAATCGTATATTACGTTTTAGAAAAATAAAACTCGATTTGAAATGCTCTCAGCAAGCAAATACCAAAAATTAAACTATTTTCTTTCGGGCGACTATTTCTAACGTCTTTCGAGCGACGATTAGGTCTCCATCTTTCTCTGTCCCAGAATCTTGAATTGGATTTATCTGCGTAGGAGTGTTGAAATTTATTTGATTGATCGATTATTTGGCGCTTTCATGGTCGCGTCAACTCCTATGGTAATATTTTTGTAAGCATAGTAAATTTTATATCGATGTGTTCCTCCCCAGCTGGAACGATGGATCCGGACTAAATATCGGTTTGCATGGACTTCCCCCTGTAAGAATTTTCGCCTGTGGGGCACAGCCCAGCAGCGGCGCGCCAATGCTACCGGCTGATATTCCGACATGCATGGTAGTGCTAATAAATTTAAGATAGTGTGTGTTTATGAAGGGAGAGAAATAGACAATAATAAGGAAGGAAAGGCCGCGCGTAGGTGGTGGCTAGTCTTGTTGGCTCTGGCATTCGGTTGATATTTATTGGAGGAAGCGATAAAATACCGATCAGAGCCGCCGGCTGTTAGAAACATTATCCAGACATCGGCTGAAGTCGACCTAGATGTTTAACTAGAATCGAAAATCTATCACTATTGGGACTGAAACTCTAGCACTTTCCGGCCAGGGCCACCGCAGTGCCAACACTTATTGCCCTGAGCCATGCCAGCCGGATTACATTTATATACTTTCAAAATAATCTTAATGATGTCAACGTAATAGAATATCTCTGTACATAAGTTACCAATAAATCTCAATTTCGAACAAAACGAATTGTATATTACGTTTTAGAAAAATAAAACTCGATTTGAAATGTTCTCAGCAAGCAAATACCAAAAATTAATCTATTAACCATTTGCCAGAAATTAAAGACTGAATTTACGTGTACACTCAAGGTAAAGCTTCAAACTTTAGTAACATTTAAAAATATTACTTTTCAAAAGTGCACTTTTGCAAAGTATTTAAAAATTAATTGTTAACCATTTAATTGTTCCCTTCAATGTTATTGAATTTCTAAAACTAACTTCTAATTAAATGTTATCTAATTTCAATGGTATTTACCATTTTTTTGAACATTTCAATTTCACACATACACACACACACACACACAACCATCCGCTTTTTGAATTCCTCCCCCCACACCGACAAATCCATACAAAACGCACGAGTTGGAAGCGGAATTTTGTGAGCGCGCAGCACCTATCCTGGCCGCCCACGGAAGTTAAAAAACCAGGGTCGGGGCAGGAGGAGGAAGGGAGCGTGCCTGCGCGTCGATTGATTTCGCGTGGGTGGCGACGGGTCGTGGGAGCGGCCCGCATGGGCATCACACGGCCGGCAATGCGCCGCGCTATTTTATGTCCCGTGTCCACCTCCCCTCCCCTTCCCTCCCCACGCCACGCCACCCTATCCCAGCCCCCAGCTGCCGTGCGCGACACCACTTCCCATCCCCACCCCCCGCCGCCGCCCGGCTAACGCTCCGTGTAAATATAAAATGGATGTAAACGACGACGACGCCAGTCGTGCATCATTGGCCCGAGCCTCGGTGGCAGCCCGACGCCCTCCATTTGAGGTTTCGACCCGGCAGATACGGCGCGCCGCCGGGGTTTATTGCTTTCTGCCAGTAAAAGAAAAAGCTGCAGTTTTCATTTTACGGCTCGAGGACAGGAGATAGGGAAAAGGCGTCGTCGTTTTTATTGAGTAGCTGCGAGGCAAACAAATGAAATATGCTTAATATAACGCTGTAAGCTGAACTTCAGCATTTGACGGAAGCCGAGCGTTTCGTTTTCATTTAAAAATTCATTAAGCTCATTTCTGCTCTTAAAACGCCCTAAATTCACAAAACACACACACACACACACACGGTAAAATATTCACGGTCATTTTGCGCGCAATGTGCATTACTGTGACCCAATTATGACCGAAATTAAATTCGCCAAAGCAATTTAATGAAAGTATAATAATCAAATTCCAGCGAAGCTGCGAGCGCCCAGATCGGCGCTGTTTGATGTGAAGAGACGAAAGAGCCGGGCTACTTCGCCCCACCGGGCGCGGGTGGCAGCCGGCTCGCGCCTAAACCCCCCAAATGAGCAGTAAGGTGCGGAAGGGACAGCTCCGGGACGTTTGAGAGATAAACGCCCGTCGATGCAAATTGCCTCCGCAGCCAGCGCCTAAGGGCGGCTAACGAAGGGCGCCCTGCGGAGGCGGGCAGGTTGCCCGCTCGAGCCGAGGGCGAAGGGCTAAGAGCGGGGGGCCTGCGGGGGCCAACGCAGGGCTCGTTAAACGCATCAGAGGCGGGGGACTGAGGGTGTCGGTCGGGTTCATGGAGAGAAAACGGCGCACGGGAGAGAGAGAGAACGGCGATATTTCGACTCAGAAACAATGATACGGTGGAGGATATGAATATGACAGTACTGAAGATGGGATAGAGGTAATAGGAATAAACGGAGAGGATGAATAAAGAACGAACATCGTAAAGCTGTACATTGTAGAGCACGTGTTCAATGATAAATAAATATTATTATTATTATTATTATTATTATTATTATTATTATTATTAAAAAAGTGACAACATTAACATTAACAACAGCCTGGAATAAAGTCGAAATCCTAATACGAAAGTAGTCTGTGGTTTCAATATCCAAGCAGACCTTAGATCGAATGACAGACTATACCGTAGTCGGAAGAGAAAAAAAGGACAGTAAATTTAAGAGTGGTGCAATAGAGTATCGATATAATATCTCTTTATCGTGTTTTCGTAAGAGTTAGGAAAATCCTGTAAATTTGGGTCCCAATTTTCCCAGTATTAATTGGGGCACTATGGGGTCACACCAGAGACCTGACAAAACCTCTTAGCTCCTGAGGTCTTGATGTGGGCCTAGCATACCACCTGCAGAAGACCACACTCCTGGACGTAGTTCTCATAGATATCTTGTGGGAACTGTTCCTCTGATATACCTAGGATATTGTATAGAACCTGAATCTACGAAAGTAGCACTCGGCATAAGAGCTGATGAATGGGTTACCTAATATAATAATAATAATAATAATAATAATAATAATAATAATAATAATAATAATAATAATAATAATATCACCAGTGACTCAATTAGATGACGTTGTGTGCAACAGCAATTTCGTTGCAACGGCACCACCGAGGGTAAAGCGAACATCGTCAACTCGATCAAAGAGGCTGCAATGGCGATGCGAACGGCAAGTGCTCGGGAGAGCGGTGGTAGCGACGGCGGCGCCAGCGGTTCCTCGAGCCGCGAAATCCGGTCATAATCGGCTCTAAGCTGCTTATACGGCGGAGTGCCCGAGGTTAAAAGCGATGTTGATTACCTTCCTATTGATTAGTTCTAAAGCATTATCCAAGAACTGCGAGGAGCCGCCACGCCGCCCCCGCCTGGTTTCTGGCGGCCGCCGGCACCCCCCGCCCCCCCACCACTCCGGGGGCCCAGGCACCTCTTAAGCCCGGGATTTGCCCCCTCTCCTCCGGAGAACCCTACCAGTACGCATGCGCGTGTTTGCCGAAAATATTCCATTGCTTGATCAGGAGCCCCTCGTTCATTCTTCCCTCTCTCTTGGATGGAAAGGCAGTAAAAGGACCTACACTACGCAGGTTTCTCGGGTCACTCCGTAATCCCCTCCCCACCCACCCCTGCTCTTGAGAGAAAAAGTTCGATAAAAGTATCTGGACGTTTTATGAAAACTCAATGAGCGAGGAAAAATTCGATTCCGCGCGTCGCGCGGAAAGGAAATCCTCTTGCGGCAAAAACAAGCGGCCCCAACGAGGCGCAGATGCGAGCGCTGCATTCCGCCCAGCTGCAACGGTCATTGCCGTAATTACTCGCAGTGGCACTTGCGCGTGATTTCCGACATATTTTGGCTAGCGCGATAAGCTCCGCATGCGCAACTCCCATTAGAGTATTAAAATAAACGACTGTACTACATCATGGTCATTTCAAAATGATCCACTTGCCCATCGCACACCAGTAGCATGCCGCCTGAATGCCAACCATTCTACATGAGCTGATGACTAAACAAAGGCGTTTTTACGTAGTACGTAGAATGCTTTTTTGATTGATTATGAGAGATTATGTGTATCATCAGAACGCTGAGCACATCAGTCGGAAAACAATTGTTTCATTGTAGAGTATACCGACTACGTGAATGAATGTGAAGAAAAGTGAAAGAGTGGAACTACAGCTGTACATACTTTCTTTCATTGTTTGTAGGTTTTGCAATTTTCGAAAAGTCATAAACCTCAACAATAATGAGACCTATGCCATACTTTTAATCGTTGCTTGTACTATCAGAGGAAACACCTTGAAGACAAAATATGGAGCAATTTTTGAGAAAATGTTTTGTTTTATAAATCGCATTAATTTAAAGCACAAATTACGAGAATAATACTTTTTTCCAAAAAAATTGTACATGACGTTTTTTCAAGAAAAGGATTTTTAGAACAGATTTTGTTTAAAGTAAAAATACTATCTTCAATTATGTACTTTTGGAATTTTCGAAAATAAAAAGAATTTGCTGAAAATGGGATTAGCGCAAATTTTCCTTTGATACCTACGAGAGGAAAATTTAATGAAAAAAATTGGAGCAATTTTTTAGACAAAAATTGGTTAAAACAAATAAAAAGTGCCTGTATTTCACACAAAATCACGCAAAAACAACTCATATTTTCAAAAAAGTGTACATGACTTTATTTCACTGTTTATTTTTGAAGAACAGACTTCATTAAGGGAAAATAATTATCTTCAATATTGTAGATGTAGGAAGATGAAAATTATTTTGTTCCTTTTAAGCAAATCAGGGATGTTACCGAAAAAAGACATACTCACTATTTTTTCAGAGTTTTCTACGCTACCTAAGGACAAATTTTCATAAAAAAATATGAAGCCATTCTTGAGAAAATTTTGTGCGGAACGTCATGTAAAGTATCCCCAAAATCAAAATATTCGTTATGATACTCAGAGGGCCTCGCGTTCCTATAAATCGATGGGGGTATATATTTTTTTTGGAGAAAATCATCTGAGGCGTTTACGCTTTAGCTTCGACTACAGACGGACGGACGTTCTGCTTTTGACGATGTTTCGATATCAAGAACCCATTGAACATGAATTTTGCCTACACAGGGTGTTAGAGAATGTAATTTACTGAATATAGGAGCAAGATTTATGCAATTTTCGTTATCACAGTCTGGCAACACGAGTTTTTCGGTCGAAAATTCGCCGTTTTTAACCGCACAGTTACAATACGTTTCTTCTCATTCAGCATGGGCGAGAAAGTAAAAATAATGATTGAAACACCACGTGAACCACCACACTCCCACGCAAACCCGTCTACCCTCCATAAATTCCACGAGTTCTGGCCAGAATTCAAAACACCCCTCAGAGGTGTAAAGCCCGCTCGCTGGCTGCCGCAGCTCAGTTCGCTCGCTTCGAAGCATCTGCGAACGCTGAGCAACATGCGGGGACTTCCAGCATCGGCGGAGTGCAAATGGGTGTACGCTACCCGCAGCGACCCCGCGCCTCTGGCGAGAGAACGCCGACCCTTGAAAACTGCAGGCTTCGGAATTGCCTGCGAAACCCCTTCCGCAGAGATCGAAGCCAATTTCTCATTCCGTCGCCTCTTCTCACGACTGTCACCCGGCATAAAACCTCCCTTGTCCGCGCGCGTTAAAACTGTATTCGCCTTTTTTAGTGGCCTCGTCGGGCCGTGCGGCTGGGCTCGGCTGGGCACCGCGCCGGCCCGCGTCGCGCTGCGCTGCGTCGAGCGGGGAGTTGGAGAGACGGCGAAGGAGACTGAATTGATGGTGGAGGAAGGGGAGTAAGAGACTGGGAATAAAGAGGAGAACGAGAGAATAGTGCGAGAAAGAGCGGATAAGAGTGTGTTAGGGAGGGAAGGAAAAGGGGGAAAACTGGGAGGAGAGGGACTGTAAGGAGCGGAGCGGCACGGCACGGCTAGAAACAGATGCTTGGGAGAGGGAGGTAGGAGAGAGGCGAGACCGAAGCGGGGTGAACGGGACTGGGCGAGCGATGTGTTTTGTGTGTGTGTGTGTGTGTGTGAGAGAGAGAGAGAGATACAGAGAGAGATACAGAGAGAGAGATACAGAGAGAGAGATACAGAGAGAGAGATACAGAGAGAGAGATACAGAGAGAGAGAAATTTAGCTGGACGAGAGAGAGAGAGGGAGAGAGAGAAATTTAGCTGGACGAGAGAGAGAGAGAGAGAGTGTGATGAGCGGGGCGAGAGATGAAAGGGGAGAGAAGCGAGACGAGAGAGGATACGAGCGGTGCGGGAAAAGTGAAAAAGAGGGAGGGGAGAGAAGAGCGGTGGAAGAGAAGAGTAGTGGAGCGAGAGAGGACAGAAACGGGACGAGTGATGACAGGCGCGGGGCGAAGGGAGCGGACCGGGAGAAGCGAGGAACCGGGAGGGAGATGAGACTCACTGTGTGAGAGAAGAGGAGAGGGGCGAGAGAGGAAATGAGCTATGTGAGAGAAGAGTTGGGGAGAGCAGAGTGGAGCGTCATGAGAGAGGAGCTGGCAGAGCGGGAAGGAACGGGCCGAGCGGAGCGGTAGCGGGCAACCGGTGGGCGACGAGCGGAGGCGAGTGAAGCAGGGCGAGCGGTGCAGGAGTGGCGGGCGTCGCCCCCACGTGTTTTACGAGAGGTGACCGCGGTGGCCTTAGCCGGCGCGTCGCCAGAGGTGTCGCCCGTTGCCTATGGGGAAAAAAGAGAACCTCTGCGAACATCCTGAGCCTCGTCACTCACTTGCCCCGCTATCTGGGTGCCCTCATTTTTCACCCGCTCCGCTCTAACCTAGCCTTTATCTTCAGCAAAACCGCTGTGACTGTGGCGACCTTCGGTATTCGTCTGGAAGACCGTTATAATTTGCTCATGAGTTCCCTTGCTTCATAATAAATAAAATTAGTCTTCTCTCTCCCAAACATTGTTGAGTAACAGAATTGAGGCGCTAGGAGTTAGATAATGGTAAGTCACATTATGAGACTTCAAGCAATAAAGTACAACAAATCTTGTCAATCAGGTGATGTACTTAAAAAGCATATGAATTGTAATTTGAAAAAGTGTTTTATACTACTTCATCAGGGATCAACCTTAACAGAAACAAAAAAGTAAATATTTGAAGTTTTTTGTTGTAGGTCTTACCAGTGTCCAATCCCAAGGAAGACTTAGACAAACCCACACTCACTTTATTCTCCTTGCAAGGATTTTAGAAGGGATTCTTGAAAGGATGTTTCGAAACTGGAGTGATGACAGCAGTGTATTGTATATACACGTCTACTCTAGAGAGTTTCAGCAATATAAATTAATTTATAGACGTTGTAATTTGAATTTTCTTCCATTACAATGGTGCAATTGTCCACATTTCATTTTATTAACCGTCAACAATTTTAATATTTAAGAGTGATTAAATGATGTAAATGGTAATGAACATGTTTATTTCCCTAGAGGGTGAAATTAATTTCTAAACTTCGAAACAAAACCTCAGCAAAAGTGCGTACACCTTTTCACAATCTACTTTAGATGATTGAGCTTTCCCGTTCAAACGAAACATTTTTATGCATGGGTCTCATTAATAATTTGCCGTCAAATGGAAACGTTCGTCTCCGATCTAGTTAAATTTATTCTTTTTGTGTAACTTAAAAACCACGCAGATTGATTAAACATTTGGAGGTAAGACGTTTGAGCGGTTGTAAGAACTGAAGAAGGAATGAAAGAAACGAACAAGTGGATAGAAGTTTAAAACTCTCAACATAATTTTTATTTGCTGACGTTTCGATTAAATAAATTTGATTATTTCAGAGCTTTGGGAGAATATAGTTAGAATGCTCCATAGTATCATGTCACAAAGCAGTCAGTGCGTAGGTTGAAAGAACATGGTCAATGTTTCCGTATATATATATATATATATATATATATATATATATATATATATATATATATATATATATATATATATAATAAGTCAGCGACCCGCAATATCGTTGATCCTTTTTACGACCCCAAATCTGTGGCAAACTTTACATATTTCTCTCCATTTTTATTTGTGTACGCCGAATTTAGTGTAAAACAACATTATCTCATTTTTCTTCTTCCTTCTTGTCCTACATACCTAGTTGACGTATTTATTACACAATCGATTACCACGCTAATTGAATTTTTTCTCGTTAATGTTTACGTACATACGCAAGGTGTGACCTTTGCAACATCTGTTTTTCTGCAATGATATTGATCTTCATCTAAATGCCATTTCCAGTTCTTTGTAGACCCTTGAATTCCGATAACGGCCATGGGAAACGATCGCCCACTTACCTCGCTAACTTATGACTTGCCAAGGGCCCATTCTCAACACTGCCACATTTCCTTTGCCTGGACCTCTCCTCCCAATCCACTCACACCTCCCGCCCAACCCATCAACCGCGAAACGGCCACATCCCCACTCACTACTGATCTCAGCTCCATCATCACTGCTCGTATCGTTCCTTCCTTCTGTCTCAACCGCGCCAATTTGAACCCCATTCTGTCTCGTGATTGCTTACGTTCTCCAGCGCGATTCAAACTTCTCTATTCTCTCCAAATCCAGCCTTCAATTCCTTTTCCCGCTATTTCTAAAACTCCCTCCGGCCTCCTATTATGAGCTCCCACATTTCCGTTGCCTGATTCTCTCCTCCCAATTCACTAACTCCTCTCGCCCAACCCATCAACCTCGAAACGGTCACATGCGCACTCTCTACTGATCTCAGCTCCATCATCATTTATTGTTTCATCCTTCTTTCTCAGCAACATCCATTTCCAAACCCATCCTTTCTCGTGTTTTCTCCAGCGCGTTTCTAATTTCCCCACTCCTTCCAAAACCAGCCTTCAAAGTCTATTCCCTCCATTCTTTCCGCCTATTACGAGGCTGTGCGAACGCGACGTGGCCCGCCTACTCCGCATCCCCTGCGTGGGCTGTGCGATGGACGCGTCCGGGCAGGGCTCCGCTCGGGTCGGGCTGGTCCCGCGGCGGCGGCGGCAGCAGCGGCGTGCTCCATTTAAAGGGGAAGTAAATCTCGCGGTGCCTACAAATGGCCCCGGAGGCGCTCGGGGCGTCGCCTACAGGGTGCTAGCGAGTTAATTCCCTTCGCAAATGGAGCGGAATCTTTACTCATCTGTTCATAGATGACGGACTGCGCGAGGGGCGTATCTCTCGAGAACGATAACCTTTTTAACGTCGCCGTCGTAACATCGCCGCCGTTTTAAGACTGCTCTCCCGAGCGAAATAACTTCCTTCCCGCCCAGACAGCGCCAGATAAGGTTCGCTTAAGGCGAAGTGGGTGTGAAGGAGAAGCCTGGACGGTGTTCAGGAGCTGCCAAGGAGATGCCGTAGACTTGAACGGGTACTGACGGAGTCGTTTCTTCGAAAGCATCGCAATGATGTATTAAACTATTTCACTGATTCCGAAGTACTCAGAAATTATTCGTGTATAAGTTCTGCCTGCAATGGCTGTCATGGTGTGCGAAAATGAACTGATGCGAGTGTAAAGTGTACCGGACGAGAGATATAATGAATGTTGAGAAAGGAGAGAGAAATGGGGGAGAGCTAAAGTCGAAGAAAGAGAGAGAGACAGAAGACAGGCAGACAGAGTGAAAACCCGCTAAAAATATCACCCTTTCTCAAAATGGATCTCTAGTTCAAAATATGTAATTTCAAGAGAGTATACTTACAAGACAAATACGACACGGGAGGTAATGTACATGTGGTTACCGCAATTGTTCAAACCAGTGTGTCATGCATTCAATGGACAGTCAATCGCCTGACGCAGTCGCAGTCGATTTTTTTATTTCTTGAATTTTTTTGAACAAGTACATTCGCAAGAGAAATTTAAAAATCATAAATTTCTGTATGCATCGGCAACAAGGACGCCCAAGTCATTACATGATTTTATTTCCATGTTTGACTAAGCAAAATATTCAGCGAGTGGAGCCAGAAAAAAATATTACTTCTGCTGCGCTGTCATTTGCTTCAACTAAATTTGGTAGTGATCTATAGATAACGTGACGCTGTAATAAAACTTAATGGCGATGCTTTTTTTAGATGTTATCAAACCCGATGTGGTAAATCATATGAAATCGAACTTATATTCGCTGCATTCAGTAAACGAAATGCCTATTTTCTCGTTGTAAATATTAGTAATCGCGCAGAGCAAGTTCATTTATAAAATTATGTAAATATTGAATCGACAAATAAAACGATTGGGGTTGATTGACCATATAGTACTATTATGTGATAATAGACCTTTTTGAATCGGCGTTTTAACTCAATGTGGAATTCTATCAGCGATATTACCTTTCTTGCTAATATACGGTCAGTGACTTCACATATAATATTTTTTTTACATTTGTGCATGCATAAAACTGTTATGCTCTTTTGGAAAATGTTCATGCAAAAAGGGAAATTCGACATTATGGCAAACACAGAATAATAAGATTCTATCTGGCTAAGTAAACTCTTCAGGATATAATTTTGAATGATGGAGGTATCTAACAAAGATAGGTGAAATGCAAATGGAACTATGTCGTTCTGTTCATAGATCTTCTATAACGCTGATTTAAAAGCAAAAATATTCGAGTATAGATAACAATAGTGTTCGATCAAAACATTTTTGCCAATAAGAAAAAAAAAGCCGCGATATAAAAATAACATTATTAATTTCTCTCAGATCTTCTCAATTGCAGAAGAAAGCCAAGACAAATTACTATTAAAATAAATTAAAATTTGCATTTTCCATAAGATCTCTGATATTATTCGGCGTACAGTGCCAATCTGGATACTCCATTTTCGAGAAAAATTGTCATTTCGTAAATTACGAGTAAAATGAGTGCGCGAGACGCATCGCACTTCATAGACAACATCAAATGTTTCCCTCTTCTTACATGCAAAAAGGCGTCATGTAAAAAGTTTTGTTTTTATAGTATCATGTATTATGTTGAGGGCAACTTGTAAGTACCAATCATATTATCAACTTACATGCAGAGACAAATTATCATACTCCTAGATTTTACATACATTAGACAGATTACAATAATTTATTACACTAGGAGAGATTGCACTACGAAACTAGATTTTTAGCTCCAGAAAGGTAAAATGTGTTACATCTTCAATTTTATACTTAGTTACGAATATCACAATAAAAGCGTCATCACGTCACAGTTTTTAAATACACCGTATCTTTATACCGTATCATACCATATTTTGCTATTATGCAAATACATTTAAATTGAACCTGTAAGATATGTAGAATCAATACTCATAAAATATATTTATTTTGTTCATCTATAACACTTTCAATAAAATAGGGCTTTCGTATTTTTTCACCTTCTGTATTGGAAGATTGCTGTTATTAATCTCGCGTGTGGTAGTCGCACTCAATTACGAGAAGGTCTTATAGGTATTAGTAGGTCCTAGTGGATGTTTTGAAAACAAGTCACGTGCACTGTATTTCCGACTGCGCACCAATCACCAGAAGCAATTATTTCAGCCCCTTACCTTATCGCAATTATAGAACTATCCAACTGTTGCGGTGGCAGATTCCGAGTCAGTCGGTGTCATGCGGAAGTGTTCTCGCACTACGCGTGAAGTTCTCGTCTCGTTTGCGTGCGCCTGAAATACATTAATACATTACAGTTATTTGTTTTTTTATAAAGTTAAATTCTCCACATGATCTGTAGAACTGAATCTGTTTTATAAAATACCAATCGTCATTTCACATCGAAAGTGTGAGAATCAACTCGAGAACATCTGTTACGTTTGTGGAAGATTTACACCCGAATTTCAAAGGAAAAATATAAGAAATTACAGAATATGTGTATTTTTTATACTTTCACCGCCGTGTTTGTGATTAGGACAAACCATGGGCTGCTTACTAGTGTTTTGTCACCTATACAACTAATCTTAGGTTGTGGTTGTACGGAAAACTCAAATCATTGTCATTCGTTCTACCAATGTTGTGGAGAATGCCAACAAATCATTTTAATGTCTGTTTGTTATTACAGGAATATACTTATTCCTTTTTTAACTTGTTCTTACCTCATATGATGCATGCTCATAAAATTTTGTAATAACATAATCGGAGTGACAATGTGAATATTAGTACAGAATTTTGTTTATTTCAAATATTAAATATGCTCATGTCTTTTGAACCTTGCGTGATAGAAACTTTTTTGTAACGATTTTCAAAATCAGCGGAATAATTTCCTTTGAAATCACTCACTTAAATCCTAGAGGTATGAAAAAATATATTTCCTAGTCGCGGTTTTGTTCAACAAATGGTGTATTTTTTCTACGTACAGTTATTGTCTATAAGTGATCTACTTTTACTCACTTTTGGCTGCAACACACCCAGATTTTAATTGTATAAATTCCTTAAACACTATTCTGCACCTCATGTTTAGTTTGCAATTTCCACATCTCCCGTCAACTGAATCTAGCCGCCAACACAGTCAACTATTCGCCAACTCCCTTCCAATCCCTTAGCCAACTCCTTCGTCTACCCGCCAACCCCGCTCCCAACCCTTCTGGCAACTCCTCCGCCAACTCTTTTGCCAACCTCTTTGCCAACCCTTCCGCCACGGCCAACGCCAACTCCCTTCCAACCCCTCCGCCAACTCTCTTCCAACCTTTACTGCAAACCCTTCTGCCAAGCCCACAGCCAATCCCTTTCCAACCACTCCACCAACTCCCAACCCTTCCGCCAAGGCCGCGCCAACTCCCTTCCAACCCCTTTGCTCCCCCTTCCACTAACCTCGCTCCCAACCCTTCCGCCAACGCTACCCTCACCTCGGCCTCCGCATGTGCCTCATTCGCTGACGCAGTTCGCTCCCCGTATGTTCTTTATGCCCCGCCTTGGGGTGTGGTGTGGCGCGGGGCAGCGCGGGGCGGGGCGGGGCTGCGGGCCGCCGTAAATCCCGAACGCCGAAACTGACCCGGCGGATCGCCCCGCGACGCTGGCTTGCCTGCGCTGCTAAAATATTCAGCAAATTTTTAATCCCGGTCTCCTTTTTTCCCCTTTTCCTTTTTTCCGCGGTGTTTCGACGAATAATGTAATGGTGTAATCCGTAGTGCAGATTTCAGCATGAAACATTTCGGCATGAAGTCCTAGATTGGTGTTGCGTTTAATTTTAATATGAATCGCGTTTTACAAATTTTCACTTGAAGTTAAGATTGATAATGGAATATTGTAAGTATCCAGAAAGGATAGATTACTTCTTGTAGTTTGAATGATTCGTAATAAAAAATCCTTTTTTACTGGACAAAGCAGCCTATTTCAACTCATTTCTGAGAGTGGGAATGAAAGTGAGTTTTCCTAAATAAAGAATCTTCATTTTTGGAGGTAAATAATCTTTATTTAAAACGGAAAGGTTGTGACAATGCATTCAACACTTCTCAGAAGGCAATGCGGTTTACTCACAAGTTAGCGTATTTTGAAAAGTTAAGTCGAAGAAATTGTGATAAAGTAAGATTTTGTAATGTTTTCAAGGGGAGTTGGTTTAAATGAATTATACTTCGATGATTCCTCATATGTATTAAAACGGACATAATATTGATCCGAAAAAATTAATGAATTAGTTTTCAGTTGTATTCATCTGCAATAACAGTCTTTAGGATAGTGAAATATTATTTTATGGCCATGAAGATTCATTAAAAAAAATTATCGTAAATCTGTCAAGTTAATTCAGATACTAAGGTTTAATCTTTACATTAAATACTCTGGAAATAGGAGCTTGAATAAAATTCAAAGTTACTATTCCATGTTAATGATTAAAAAATATATACGATTCTGGGACCGCAGAGGCGATGAAAAAACATACATTTTATTAGCGTTGTCTAACATAATGACAATTTATCCCCCTGCTGATATCATTCCACCTATCTACGCAAATATTTTATTTTGCGAATCTTTACACGTTCTACTTAACGATATGTCTTCTTTCTTCACTTCACATATACAACTGCTGCAAGAAGCTTTATGGAATTGATTTACACTTCACTTCAAGGAAATCACATAGCAACGCAAACATCTGTTTAAGGACGTGTACTATATGTTCTGAACAATGGTACTGAATACATAGGATTCAATTGATATCATTTGATATAACATCAAGTTTTTTACATTTTGAATTTAAATGAGTGTCAAAGAACCCATAAAACAAAAAGACATTCATTTTGAGAACAGAGCTTGGACACATCATGAAGAGGTACAGTAAAGCTATATCATAACATTTCCTCATAAACACTGAAGTAAGTGCTTTGATTCCCGCCAAAGCATTAAACTTCTCAAAGAGAATATGTTCCTGCTGCGGATCTCTCTCAGACGTCTACGAAGCTCGCGCACTTAGATAAGGGATAATTGCGACTAAACATAACACAACGACAAATTTAACAGAGTTTAAGAGCATCATCATTGATGAGAGCATTTGAGATATTACTGCCATCTCTGACGTTGAAATACAACTCTCAATGGGCAAAGCCTCCATTCACATTATTCGAGATGTATTTTTGTGTTTGATGAATTTTAATAAATTGTTTAAAAATCTAAGGGAGCAGTATTTTGAGAATTGATTTCTCATGGATTCTATTCTATCGACATTCAATGTGAATTTAGAACCTTTTAAAAAAAGAGCAAACCCAATAAAAGGAGTACTACTATTGTTAACAAATACCTATTACTGTAAAAAACCAATAGTTAACGCACTGTTATAATCAACTATCTATGATACTAAGACATGTATGATTTATTTTCTCGGCGGCTCTCGGCGGCTTCCTTCTTCCATATCACGCACGTCTCTCTATCAAAAACCAGCATCTCCAGCGTCAAATTTCACTTGTCGAAGTTACTTCTACGTTTTTAATTGTTTCAATTCCTTTCAGAATACCATTTACTAACCGAAAATCCTCTTACCGGTTTAGGATTTGTCAGTATAACAAGCCAAGCAGTAAAATTATTCCCTGTCGCCTTATTCAATTCCAAAAGCAAAGCCACCTACATCCATCCATCTATCCATGCCGACCAATGTCCATCAAGTTTGCATACACTTCACAGACGAAGCACTTACAAGTCACAACTCAATACAAATAACATTCAATATAAAACAAATATGTTATATAATATAGTCAACCCCCTTTTTGAATTACTAGTTCACTACTTACTATGTAGTGGCATTTGCGCGGCTATTAGTGGGAGGTACAAAATTAAAATATACTTAAAATATACAGAGTTTATGGGCAGGTATGACTATAGGAGAACGCTAGAGTTTTCACGAAGTGATTAACCTTGCTAACTCTCTAGTGGAGATACTTGGAAATGACGAATCTTCTCTCTGCAAGTTTTTTTACGAGAGACTAAAATCTACAGCCTTATCTGAGAGAAGAGGATAATGCGAATTATTTGGTTTTAGTTGGAGATTTTAGTGTTTATCTAGATCTTTTCTTTATAATTGGACACGTTCATTTTCAGTTTTATTTACGTTTTACTTTGTATTAAAAATGTTTTAGCTTGGCACTGCCATATTGTGTACTGATCTTAAAATAATTTGACACAGGCCCCAATGATCTTAGCTGTTGAAGCACACTTTAACTTAATCGTCAAACAATCAACGAAGCTAGTATGCATGGCGAGGTTTAGGATTTTCTACGAACATCCGACAATCGTTGAAAGACGAAACGATTAGAAACAAGTTAAGAAAAGTTCTAAGAATAAAAGTCATAAAGATGAAACAATAACTCCTTTCCAAAACAAAGACAGAAGGAAAAATATGCTGGGGCCGTCGATGACTCCCTCCATTAGTTTGCGATAGTTAAAAGATTGTTAATATTACAGTAAAATATGTCTCAGCCGGAATCGATCGGGATAAAAAAGTCTGGTTTAGGAAGGTTTCCGTTTTCTGCAAGGTTCCATTTTTTTTGTCTTTTCTGTGATATTGATTTTTCTTTGATTTTTGTGATATTGATATTTACGATCTGAATTACATGTACAATACAATAGTAACAATACGATAGTAAATTACATGACTATTATAATTATTAAAATACACCAACATTAAACTTATTTATGGAAAATATCACCAATATATCAGTACTAATTAGGATGCTCAAATGCTTCAGGAATTCTTTTCAAACTAAATGTAATTTGTTCTGCCTTGTTTCAGCCCTAGAAAAACAGGTGATCAAGAAGTACAACATATCTAAAGACGATTATCACGTCATGGAGTTGGTGGTCCTGAAGGCAGAGCCTCATAAGGCGGGCCACCAGTGGAAATTTGCGGGCGCGTTCTACTACGCGACCACTGTGCTGACGACCATTGGTAAGCAGGCTGCAATGTACGATGCAATTTCCTTTTCAATTCGTACAAAATTCAAATGCACAATTCTATTCAACCTGACCAGTAGTTCCCCTCGTGCATCTGTAACAGCTTGGTGTCTACACTTAATTTTTTGCAACCATTTCCTCGAACTGTTTCCCATGATCCTTAAGAGCAGAGCAATACATTTATTTCAAAAATATGCGCATCTTTTGTTTCTCGACAGATCTGTACCTCGTGCTTCTTTTACGGTCTCAAATGGTTGAGCAAAAAATCGTCTTGTTCTGTAATGTTAAAAATAATAATTGCATCAAAATTGTAGAATTCTGCAGCTTTGAATTTCCCAGCAACGTGGTGAATTCATATCATGAAAGAATGAAAAATGTATCTCAAGATTAAATGAGGTTCTGTATAAAAAATAACTACACTTGTGGTTCCCAAACAGCTTGAAATACATCATTGTGACGGCATAGTTGAGTAACAAAGAAACAAATTCACAGAGAAGGAGTTTAAGTATATTTTGTCTATGAAATTATAAACTCTAAGAAGCTACGTGTCCTCGCAATAATTACTTCTCATGAGAAGCAATTAATTTGTTTCCTCAAGTTTCATATTATATGAAGTTCGTAAAAAAATACATCTTAAAATGTATTAATATTTAAATTAACACAATATGCTACTTACAACCATTTTTAATTTATTTACACACGTCTTTAAAAACAATGATTCTTTAATGTATACGGAAGAAAATTAAACTAATGAATTCGCATTTTAATTTCCAAATTTAATATAAATATCACAACATCTCTTGTGAAGCATTTTTGTTTTCTATTGAATGATGGAAATATGATGGATATATTACAAAAAAAAATAAAAAATAAAAAATAAAAAAAAAGAATGAAAACAAAGTCTACGATCATATTTGTCAAAGAACACTCCGTAACATTTTTAACCAAATGCTTGTGTTCACTCGATTCCTCATTCAACAAGAGTGAGCAAATGATAAATCCTTGTTTAGTTCTTCTCTTCTCCTAAAGTGTTTTTTCTGAGTTTTTAAGATCATCAGATTGCTTAAACGGGACTTTTATATTCATCTATAATATTTTAGTTATTATAAAAGACGTAACTCATCACTTCACCATGAACTCTTGAAAATTATCAGTAAATCTCTTCTTTAATTTGATGTTCTGTTGATTGCGAGGGTTTTGTTTCAAAATCCGCTAATCATAATACAACTGAAACTCTTAATGAAAAATAAAATAATGGCAAGATGTAAATGAAAGTAGTATTCCAATTTGTCAAACACTAATGTGCCCTGTTCATAATATCTCCCACGACTGGAAAATCAAATGGAATAAATGGTTTTAATATCGATTCAACATTAATTTAGGTTCAATCTCGGAAAATATTTCCCTGAAATTGAAGTTATTACTTTCATAACTTTATTAAATATAGATAATTTCTTATATCCATATTCTTTTATTATTGCTAACGATAATAATGAATATATATATATATATATATATATATATATATATATATATATATATATATATACATATATTCATTATTATCATGCCTTCCTTTACTTGAAGAGGTTCGAATATTCGTTGTTGTTTTTTTACTTTTTGAATGTTGCTTAAATCATTTCAGTAATTATGAGGTCACGACTTTATTGTTTTGCGTTTGTGTGACTGACGTCAAGAAAGAGAATGTACCGTCACGTTATCCAGACGCGTACTTTGAACGATTATTTTTAACCACAGTAATGAGGCAGAATGTCCTTACGAAAATGGTACGTATCGCACGACTCTCATCTTCCGGAACAAACTTCCAAACGCTGCTTCAACTCTCTCCGCTCGCAACTTGGCCGTACTTTTCCACACGCAGGCGGGGAAAAAAGGAAAAAGAAAACGCCTACAAACAAAAAGGTCACTTTATTCGCGCGACTAATCGCTTGATTATTCTCACCGGCGTTAGTTTTAACTCCCCCCGGCCGCGCGTAATCTCGAGAGGTGGCCGTGCGACGCCGTCGGCAAACAAAGCTCCACAAAATCTGCCGGCGCCCCGCGCGGCCACGTTCAGCCGCCTGGGCCATCCCCCGGGCGTGCGCCGCCGCGCCGCACCGCGGTTCATTGCCCCGCGCCACCCCGCCCCCGCCCCACTCCGCCGCGCCTTACGCCCGCCTCCGCACGCCACCGCGCCCACACTACGCACCACCGCCCGCGCTCCATCGCCACCTCGCCACGCCGTCCCGCCACCTCTCCACCCGCCCCACGAGCCGCCCCGCTCGTTCGCGTCCCAACCCCTCGCCGACTCCGCTCCAACGCCGCCAACGCCCCGCGTCAGTAACTCGCCGCCCTTCCCACGTGCCACTCAGACGCCGCCCACGCGCACCCACGCGCTGGCTCATAAGCGCGCCACAACGCGTCCACATACGCGTCACACCAACGCGCCACCCATCCGCACCAACGAGCCACCCACGCACCCACGTCAACCCCGCACCCACCACTACAACCCACCTCAACCTACCTCGAACCCCCCTCCCCCCTCTCACACGCTGCCATCCCCTTCCCCATCCCCTTCTCCTAGTAGCTAACTCTCCACCGCAACCCGCTCGATCATCGCTTATGGCCACGCCTCTCGGGCAGGATCAACTAGGGATTGGGAATCCGCACGCACATACACATGGGTCATTGCACGTCAAATCGCACTCATAAAACATCACTATTATTTAGTGATTTGAAACTTTTTTTCACGTAGTCTGGTATTGAGAGCAAGATATATTAATTTTTTTTTCTTTTTCCTCTAATTCCACTCTTTTCAGAAATATTATCGATATTTTTTTCGGTAGAATCCTGGGGCCGGATAACTTTAAAATTAGTTCATGCAACAATAAATTGTTAATAAATTAACAATTAATGTATTAATTGTTTCAACAGAAAAATTCCGCTACCCTTTAAATTACATTCACATCACATGAAAGCACGTCTTTCTAGGTTTAATTTAAACCTAGAAAGACGTACTTTCATATGATGTGAATGTAATTTTTGAAAAGGTTAAGTACTCGTATTTAGAATAGATTTTGATACTTAAATTGCAAATTTTTACATTAAGTTCACACTTTAATTTTAAAAATATTCATTATTTCTACACTAACGTTATATTAGTCAAAAGTGACTGAAAGAAATCAAATGCCCAAATGAATATGTCATTATAATGAATAGTAGAACCCAATATTGAATTTCTTTAAATTTAAAGATTTTTTTTTTCATTTCAAACTTTCCTTACCATCGGTGGTATGTTCTCAAACCACGGTCCTCTAAGGGATCGCAAAGCAATTTTAGAAAAAAAAAAACGTTCTAAGGTCAGCAGGGGGTTATTTGGGTTATTTGCGATTGTTCCCAGACATCCATGACGTAGGAACTTATGCCACGTAACTTAAGTTTCTGTTTAATTTGTTACGTCGATTACCCTACGTTCTCGGACCCCAACAGCGTGTGTATTGAAGATTAAATTCTCGGTGTTTCCAAAAACGTAATAAGCGCGCGCAGCCCACCCGTGTAGGGAACTTACACTCTTTTTTTTCCACGGGAGCCAAGTTCGGTCTTCCCTTCAAGGTTGTTATTTAGTTTTGGTTGTATTTTTGGTTTATACTTTCCTCACTTTTTCTAAAATTAATTTTGAACTATGACGAAAATTCTTTGTAATAAATTTGTATTTTGGGGTCACTTTACTAATTTATGGTGTATTTAGTTGAACTTATAGTTCTTTGGCGATTTAGCTCCTGTAGGTTCTCCCTAATCACCAACGTATATCCTTAGCGCCCGTCGCGTCCAGAGATAGTTAATCCTTCTGCCTCCGCAGATGAGTTGCGAAGCGTGCATCTGCCCTGGCGTGCGAGGGGCGCCGACTTCCTGTGCGAACATGCAAGAGCAATTACCATCCCTTGTAACACGTCTCTCAAACTGCGAAACCGAATTGCGCGACGCGAAAACTACAGAATTGTACCGCCGGATGTCGTTCTAATAGCACCACACTTTGAAGCGAGTCGGTTTACACTTGTTTATTTGCTTATGGTGACGCTCCATCGAATTTTTTTGTCAGCCTACCCTTAAATCCATAAGTAATAATATGCAAAAATGCTATTTCCATTCAGTTGCTAAAACTTCACGGTTCAATGTTTGGGACGTAGAAGATTATGTTACAACCTTTAACCAGCATTTTAATAATTTCTATTTGAAGATGAGAATTCTCGAGTGACCGATGCATTGATATAAGAATACAAAACGTCCAGCTCGCAAAAGATCTCTGCCCATTTAAGTGGTATTCAACTGATATAGCCTCCCCTTCCGCCTAACAAGACATTCTCATATCTCCATCTCGCTGACATAACATTAATTCAGATGTAACACATCCGTTACTACCGTTACTCTACTATTGCTGCCGTACAGTCAAAGCTTTATTCCATTATAAATGCTCCACCATCACAGTTCACTATTCTATAACATGCAGTTTGAAAACTGAATGAATAGAAATCGCTTCATCGACGTATGTATTTCTACGTAAACGATTTCAGGACTCGACTGCTGTGTCTCTATTGGGTTTCCTGCAGTAATAGTTCATTTCTAATCGTCATAATTGCCTTTATATGGTGGTTTATCCCTCAGTATCCACACTAGGTTGTTTCTCCTCCCCCTAGGTAACTTCAGTGAGGAGACTGGTTAGCCCCCCCCCCCGGGGGTGTAAAAAATCCCTGGGGGGTCCCAGTTGGGTTCATTGTGGCAGTTCCCGGTACTCACGGGTATTAAGGAGGGTCTTTGTTCCGACAGAATGAGTGGCGTAAAACAAATGTGTCAACCCGGAGAGCTGATAAGCCTTGAGCTGGTGAGGAGAACCCTGGTTAGGAGTAGCTGCGTTCATCGCGTTCCATCGTATCCGTATACCAGTCCAACGGAGTACAATCGCGGGGGAAGGGAAGGGATGATAAGTGCAATGCTCAAGAACCGCCTCCGGAGGCGTTAAAACCCGAGCGTTAAAATATGTACAAGCCGTGCGGACTAGTGAGCCAGCATAGACACCCGGAAAAACACTCTCCTGACCGAACTGGATTCCTATAAACCCGTTTTCTTCAGGAACTCATCCCACACAGTCACCCACTCAAATACGTTTATAAAGGCGATTGTATCGTCTGAATATAGTACTTTTTATTATACTGCAAATATTCATTCATAAAGCACTCGCCCTCGCAGAGACTTCATCTCGTAAACAATCCACCCACTCGCCCGCCTCATGAATTTACACGCATCCTTCGCTCTTGCACGTTAATTTTCTCTTTACATACGCCCACGCGTGTAAACGCAACCAGATTCCAGGTATTTTCTTGACAAAGCTCTTACAGTCCTTTCCCACTGCCTTCATGGAAAGATTTCCACACTACGCTCTAGTAACTCTCTGCCGTTTCTTCCGCACTTCATTGCCAGCAGACGATGCATCAATTGACTCATACTTCGTAAGGCAAAAATCGGTCAAGCAAAAAGATTATTGTAAATTCAAAGAGAATTGCTCTGACATGGATGTTCATTCGCTCACAGGTATGATGTTCAACTGCAAGTATACGAAAAAATTCCGATGCTTAATTCATATTCCTAAATAATAATAATAATAATAATAATAATAATAATAATAATAATAATAATATAAAAGTATTTATAACAATTATTATTTTATATTTACACATTGCTGGTTTACAGGAAGACGAGATTCTCAAATAACAACGGACTTTTCGCAAAGTGTGTTATTTGCTAATTATTATTATTATTATTATTATTATTATTATTATTAATAATAATAATAATAATGAGCGAATGTTATATAATTCAATTGAACATTGCAATCAGTTTTTTTGTCCTGTTTCCCTTGATCCATTAAGCAAGTGCTGAGATACTTCCTTGATTTGCTTCAAGACAGCAAATTTAGCTTCAGTATCTGCACGTTTTTGCATGGGCCCTACGAGGAAATAAGTGGGGAATATAGCTGTTACGTGAACACTCATTTCAATTACTGTTTTCCACGTTCTCTCAGTAATGAGTTGCTCCCTTCACCTGGGACATAAGGGATCAGAACCAAAATATGTAGCTTTATTGCTAATGCAAATAGTCTTATTTTACGGGAGAAAATATTTCTGGTTTTCAAATTTTGCCAAAAATATGTCGTTAACTTTATTCAAGATTCTACTTTGGTATAACGTATTTATAGGGCGGGAGTAAAGATTCTGGATCTCAATAAACCAAGCATAGTTTGCATCGCTTCCATATACGTCACACACTCTTGCACACTGTGGGCTGGTTACATTTCGTGTTTTCAATCACTAGTCATTCTTTCAGCATTATGTTTCTAATTTTATGTACTCTATCAACCAGGATATATTGATAGAGTTAACTCCAAATATTTATCTACATAGGGTTTACCTGCGAATTGATTGCATCCTTTTAAAAGTTCTTATCCACATGTTCGTTCTTCAACATTGTCTTGAAAAATTTATTTAGTTTGCTTTCTAATACTTTATTTTCATAGAAACTCTACTAGTCACTAACTATTCCATTGCTTATTTTTACTTTTTCGCACGTTTCCAATAATGTCACTGTCGTCAGACCCATCTTCACTATAATTCATTTCCAGATACTTAAATACCCTTCTCATTTGAATTACACCCTTTTTTGTTTCTAGATTTCCCTACTACCATGTTCCTGGATTTTCAATGTTTATTTCCCGATTCTAATTTCATATAATAATTACATATTTTCCTTCTAACTTCTTTTACTCGCATGTAATCGTCTTCAACTTCACCCTGGATGACCTGGTCATCAGTAAAAAGAGGATTTACTTTTCCTTTCCGACATGCACTACTCACATATTCCTACATTTTCTCTAGATCTTTCTTCTAATAGTTATTTATGCACCAAGGTCGTTATAGCAGATCTAATGATCGACCGGCGACAAAAGCACGCACGCCTTTGGCCAGAGGGCTTTTTCTCGCTCGAAATCATTAGAACCAGTTAAAGCCATGTAACACACATGATTTCATATTTTACGTAATTTTAATTATTCAGATTGACTTATTTTCTCTTTAGCTAGTAGTTAACTTAACTTGGTTCGTCTTTTCATATTTCCCTCCCATTATTCTCATTCATTATTCCCTCTTATAATTCCCCCAATAAAATAACATGAAGCACCATTCAACTTTTTTCGTATTTTCCTCGTAACCATGATCCTCACGATTCAGGAACGTAATGCAGTGTATATCAAACTCGATATGCAGTATCGAAGGCAATAACAAACAATAATTATCAGTAAAACTAGTGGGGTTATGAAGAACGGCACAGACTTTCCCGTATTAGTTTTATGTTTCCGTTGGTTTCAGCTACGTATTTGGACTTACCACTCTTGCCAGCTACCATCTATCACCGACTAAAATACATTTTTTTGAAATTTTCTTAATTTTTCGTTACCGTAATAGTAGAACAGAAATATTATTTTAAGAATATTAATAATCAGTAAAACCCGTCCTAAATTGCAAGTTTCATTGAAAAAGGCGAA